ATACCAAACCAACACCTTCATTCCAGCCAAACCAACCAAACCAACGCCCTCATTCCAGCCATATATAATACCAACCAAACCAACGCCCTCATTCCAGCCATATATATTAATGTTACATTATATCAAGTGGTGTGCAAGAATTATACAGAAGAGCTAATCTCTCAATAAAATTGCACATTTGTGGACCATGGGATTACCAGCTTCGTTTAACTAGCGGTTGGCTACCGCACCCAGCCGTTAGCGGAATCTAATCAGCCTAATCAATATCCCTTTAAAGTTAATGTGCTCTCATGCGGCCTATAACAGGAGGCTTTCCGAAATCCGGGGATAGTGTGGGAATGTGCACATTTCCATTAAATTTGACAATCACAGCAGGGTTATCTTATTGTGTTATTAGTGTACAGTGGTGTTGCCTGAAGCAAGCTGGTGTTAACATTTCATTTGCGTGGTTTTTAACTCATGTTACTGTGATCTTATGTTAATATGTACTTTAACTTATCATTACACCTGCGTGCTCACACTACTGTGTTATCCTAATATCATTACTCACATGTTTTTCATAAACTAAGATGTAAGTTCACACACCACTGCATTATTAAATACTGGCATGTGGGTTATCTTAATAATCAACACCTGCGGTGACACACACACACGATCGATCAGCGAAGAGGCTGGGCCAGGAGCTGTGAATCGACCCCTGCAACCACAAATAGGTGAGTACACACACACACAGGTCACTGAGACAACCAGATCAAGTTATTTTTTTGTTTACGTCATATTTGGAGCGGAGAAACTGTGCGTCACAAGAGCATTTTAATACACCTAGCAAATGAAGAGCCTGGGACTTGAGTGAACGAAGGCAGAGCCGTTTTCTAAACGTGTCTGCAGCGACAGAATGATTTATGTTCGTGTTGTCAAGCTCTCATAGACGGAGAATATGGCCACAACATTTTCCAAATTTAAAGTTTAATAGGCATATTTACCGAGAAATACATTTTTCGTAACATCAGACTAAAGACTAGTGTCACTGACATAGTATATAGGCTATGGAGAGGCGACTGTGGATCACTAGAAAGGTTCGATTTCATTAAAAACAACCAGCACGGTTTAGAGATGGTAAATCCTTTTTCACAATCAAACATTATCGTCACATTTACTACGAAACAGGTTTACGACAGCCTTTTTTTCAGTTTAAAAGATAGCAGAAGGGTTAAAAGCTTAGGGGTGCAATCAACCCATACCACGGGTGGGGTTAGAACCCGCGATCTGAGATTCTCAAAACTCCAGACCGTCGCGTTAGCCACTGGACCAGCTAGCCACAATATGATTCGTTCAACTAGGTCCAGTGGCTAACGCGACGGTCTGGAGTTTTGAGACTCTCAGATCGTGGGTTCTATTACCGCCCGTGGTATGGTATGTTTGCAATCGTGTCATTACGATTTCGTGAATCTAGGGGTGCAATATTTGTAGCCAAGTTAATCCCAGAGCGAGATTAACATCGGTATTAGAACAGCATAAGTCTTGGTAATATCTGACAAAACCAATAACTGTAGAAGCAGATACTAACTTGAGTGTTGCTTCTTTATCGAAGTTTAAGTGGGATAAGATGCTAGGGAGGAGCATGTTTGAAAAGACAGTTTGTAAAGAAAGACGCAAGTGGTAAAAGAATTCCCTGTGTTTAGCGTTTAATTCTGACCTCGGGGACATGCTAGAGTGCTGTGTTAGAACTTCTAGGTCGATTATGACTGATCTCAAATTTTCTATTACTCAAATAAAATACCAAGAACATATGAAAGAAGGAACACTGCAGCAGGCCTACTGGCTCATGCGAGGCAGGTCTAATTCTCCTACCGGCTTAAGCCAATGCCTTAACCTAGTCAGGTCAGTCACATTCACTTAAGGGAGGAGCACGGCATCTGACCTAGTAGCACAAGCTGGTCAGGTCCAACTCACACCCACCCACACCCACTCATGTATTTATCCAACCTATTTTTAAAACTACACAACGTCTTAGCTTCTATGACGGTACCTGAAGTATACCTGGAGAGGGTTTCAGGGGTCATTGTCCACGCGGCCCGATGTGTGACCAGGCCTCGCCGTGGATCAGGGTCTGATCAACCAGGTTGTTACTGCTGGTTGCACGCAAACCGAAGTACGAACCACAGCCCGGCTGATCAGGTACTGACTTTAGGTGCCTGTCAAGTGCCCTCTTGAAGACAGCCAAGGATATACCAGGGATATACCAGGGATATACCAGGGATATACCAGGGATATACCAGGGATATACCAGGGATATGCCAGGGATATACCTGGGATATATCAAATATCTTAACATGGCGCTGACCTTTGTCAGTAATGGGGGGGGGGTAGCTGGTACAAAGCTGAGATATTTCGCATAATAGAAGAAACACACATGAGAAAAATAAATGAAAGTGCAATAGATGAAGTAAAATCTAATTTCAACGCTTAGACATGGTAATGGATTCCTGATGTGATTTCTAAATTCGACACGAAGAAACATATCCCACTCCAGACCATGACCACACACTGATCTGACCACACACTGACCTTATCACACACTGACCTTATCACACACTGACCTAATCACACACTGATCTTATCACACACCGACCTTATCACACAACGACCTTATCACACACTGGTGATTGCTACCTCACAAACAGATCTTGCAAAACTAAAAGGACCTGGTCACAGACCGGGCCGCGGGGGCGTTGACCCCCGGAACTCTCTCCAGGTAAACTCCAGATAAACATAAGAATAAAGGCCTAATGGTTCATGCTGGGCAAGTCGTCTCCTTCCTGGCCTTCACCTCAACTCATTGGCGATCTTAACTATGCAAGACAAGCCACGAAATCTTTAGCTCAAGTACTTTCACACTTCTCAGTGCATCATCAAGAGCTATGCAATGTTGCAAGGCAGCAACTGAAGGGGTGAGGGGAAGTTTTCTCAGAGTAGCACAGTGCGGGTCTGTCACCAGCCGCAGTCTCTCTCAAAATGTGGGCCAATGGTTACCTGGAGGTTACCTGGAGGTTATTCCGGGGATCAACGCCCCCGCGGCCCGGTCCACGACCAGGCCTCCCGATGGATCAGGGCCTGATCAACTAGGCTGTTACTGCTGGCCGCACGCAGTCCGACGTACGAGCCACAGCCCGGCTGATCCGGCACTGACTTTAGGTATCTGTCCAGCTCTCTCTTGAAGGCAGCCAGGGGTTTATTGGCAATTCCCCTAATGCTTGATGGGAGGCTGTTGAACAGTTTTGGGCCCCGGACACTTATGGTGTTTTCTCTTAGTGTACCAATGGCGCCCCTACTTTTTATTGGCGGCATTTTGCATCGCCTGCCCAGTCTTTTACTTTCGTAGGGAGTGATTTCTGTGTGCAGATTTGGGACCATTCCTTCCAAGATTTTCCAAGTGTAGATTATGATATATCTCTCCCTCCTGCGTTCCAACGAGTACAAGTCAAGTGCTTTCAAGCGTTCCCAGTAGTTAAGGTGCTTGACAGAACTTATACGTGCAGTAAAGGATCTCTGTACACTCTCTAGATCTGCGATTTCACCTGCTTTGTATGGAGATGTTAATGTACAGCAGTATTCCAGCCTAGAGAGAACAAGTGATTTGAAAAGGATCATCATGGGCTTGGCATCTCTCGTTTTGAAAGTTCTCATTATCCATCCTATCATTTTCTTTGCACGTGCGATCGTGGCACTGTTGTGATCCTTGAAAGTGAGATCCTCAGACATTACTACTCCCAGGTCCCTTACATTATTTTTCCGCTCTATTGTATGGCCGGAGTCAGTAGTATACTCTGTTCTAGTTATTATCTCCTCCAGTTTTCCATAACGGAGTAGTTGGAATTTGCCCTCATTTGTGCCAAACTTGCACCACTACCATCCCCCTTCCCCCTATATGGGGCAGAATGGTTTTGAGATGTCAAGTATTATGAAATTAGAAGATATAATAACCAGCCCCAAACTTTTTCTAGCCGCTTGGAAAAGGTCATAATATTACTGACTGCGAAAAGGATTTAGGAGTTCCGATTAGCAGTAATCTGAAACAAGACAACAGTGCATAAGTGTTTGCAATAAAGCTAACAGAATCCTTCGCTTCATATGAAGAAGTATAAATAATAGAAGTCCTCAGGTTGTTCTTCGACTCTATATATCTTTGGTTAGGCCTCTTTTAGACTATGCTGCTCAGTTCTGGTCACCGTATTACAGATTGGATATATATGTTCTGGAAAACATACAAAGGAGGATGACAAAGTTGATTCCATGTATCAGATATCTTCCTTATGAGGATAGACTGAGGTCCCTGAATCTGATTGCACTCTCTAGAAAGGCGTAGAATTAGGGGGGATATGATTGAGGTGTACAAATGGGAAACAGTAATAAATAAAAGGGATGTAAATAGCGTGCTAAAAATATCTAGCGTAGACAGGACTTGCAGTAATGGCTTTAAGTTGGAAAAATTCAGATTTAAGAAGGATATAGGAAAGCACTGGTTTGGTAATAAAGTTGTGGATGAGTGGAACAAACTCCCGAGTACCGTTATAGAAGCTAAGACGTTGTGTAGTTTTAAAAATAGGTTAGATAAATTCACGAGTGGGTGTGGGTGGGTGTGAGCTGACCTGACTAGCTTGTGCTACTAGGTCAGATGCCGTGCTCCATCCTTAAGTGAATGTGACCTGACCTGACTAGGTTAGGGCAGTGGCCAAGTCGGTAGGAGAATTAGACCTGCCTCGCATGGGCCAGTAGGCCTGCTGCAGTGTTCCTTTTTTCTTACGTTATGTAATATTTTAACGTTCCGTACATAGATAAAATACGAGATATGGATGCGGGGATACATCGCGAGGCGGCGGTCTGGAGCGGGAGGCGGCGAGGAGGAGGAGGGCGGAGGTTCATCAGTAGCGCCAGTGGCTCGGTGGAGGTAGGAGGTGCTTCGCTAGCGGGCGGTAACGCTACTTCGATACCTCCAGCAGTGGACCTCGATCTCGCGTTCGCGCTGATGAGTCCATAATACCCCCTTTTCTCTCCCGCGTAATACGCAATTTGGCTGCGGTGGCTCAGGTGGACGCTTGTGTGCGCTGATTCTGAGAGTCGTACGCTTGAAAAACATTCACATATAACAAATATTTACCGAATGTTGATTTTTTTTGTGTGTTACGAGGAATTTAGTGAACGTGCTTCACTAAATAATTTAAAAGTCGTTGACTGGCCCAACAAGCCGATAAGTTGGTATAAAAACACATAACACAGAAAACTTCTGTTCTGGACGACATTTCGCTCATCACTGAGTTTTTCAAAGCTCAGTGCGAAACATTGTTCAAAATCAAGGCTTGTTCTTCATTACTCTGCTTTATACCTTCATATTTATTATTGAAGAACACCACCGAGGAGGGCCAGTTGTTCTGTCCATTTCTAAATTGTTCAGACGTGAGATAGAAATTCGTGGGATAGAAATTTCTATACAGAACACCTGCTTAAACTGACCATATAGAACACGTGATTGAATACTCACTGAACAACTTCTTGAAGTCTTATAGAACACCTGCTTGAAGTCTTATAGAACACTTGCTTGAAGTCTTATAGAACACCTGCTTGAAGTCTTATAGAACACCTGCTTGAAGTCTTATAGAACACCTGCCTGAAGTCTTATAGAACACCTGCTTGAAGTTTTATAGAACACCTGCATGAAGAGACCTCGTAGAACACCTGCTTGGAGAATTATTGAACACCTGCTTGAAGAAACTTTATAGAACACCTGCTCGAAAGTAATTGATCGCCTGCTTGAAGAGGTCTTATAAAATACCTCCTTGAAGGAGAATTATAGAACACTTGTGTGAAGTCTTATTGAACACCTTTGTGAAGTCTTACTGAACACCTGTGTGATGTCTTATAGAGCTCCTGTTGTAAGAGACCATGCAGAACACCTGACAAACTTTATAAAGCACCTGCTTGAAGTCATATAGAACGCCTGCTTAAAGCCTTATATTCCTGCTTAGAACACCTGTTTGAAGCCTTTAAGAATACCTGCTTAAGTTTTAAAAAACACCTGCTTGAAGCCTTATGGAACACGTGCTTCAAGTTTTATGCAACACCTGCTTGAAGAGACCTTATACAACACCTGCTTGAAGAGACCTTATACAACACCTGCTTGAAGAGACCTTATACAACACCTGCTTGAAGAGACCTTAGCAACACCTGCTTGAAGAGACCTTATGCAACACCTGCTTGAAGAGACCTTATACAACACCTGCTTGAAGAGACCTTATACAACACCTGCTTGAAGAGACCTTACAACACCTGCTTGAAGAGACCTTATACAACACCTGCTTGAAGAGACCTTATACAACACCTGCTTGAAGAGACCTTATACAACACCTGCTTGATGAAACCTTTTAGAACACCTGCTTTAAGTCTTATTGAACACCTGCTTATAGAGACCTAATAGAACATCTGCTTCAAATATTTTGTGACACCTGCTTGAAGCCTTACCCATAAAAATCTTAAAGGGGTTTTATAAAACATCTGCCTCAACGAGCCTTACACCCACCTTCATGGCAAGAACTTAATAGAACACCTGCTTCATGGAGCCCTCTAGAACACCTGCTTCATGGGACCCTATAGAACACCTGCTTCATGGAGCCCTCTAGAACACCTGCTTCATGGGACCCTATAGAATACTTGCTTCCTGGAACCTTATAGAACATCTGCATTATTGAACCCTATAGAACACCTGCTTCAAGGGACTCTACAGAACACCTTAAGTGGACCTAAACACAGAGATGAAACTGTGCTCTCTGACAGAAACATTTAAGGAGAGGATGCAGTATACGTGTCTGCTGATAGTTAAATAACTGTCCCTCTGTCTGCTGGGTAGTATCACCAACAGCCTCACTGGTTGGAAACTCTGCCGTGATTAGAGGTCTAAAGACTGAGCCTCCATTGTAGCGCAAATTGACGCTCTCCGCTAGTTTAGCGTTTTTTTTTTAGTGGACGAATTTTTTTTTTTAGTCTATTTTCACTGGAGTCTGACAACAACATCGAACATTTATTCTAGAGACTGTCTACTACAAGAAGCATTTACACCAGATTTTTGTCTACAACAATAAGTATTTATACCAGGATTTGTCTTCAATAACATACATTTATACAAGAGTGTCGACAACATCAGACATTTATATCAGAATTTGTTTACATCAACAGACTCAAGAGCTTGCATTTCTGATCTAAAATTAATTAGAGAGATAAATGCTTTTTGAAATTAGGTGACAGTTCCCTAGGTGAAGCTGTATTGTGTTATCCTACATTTCCATAGGTGAAGCTGAACCTAAAACCGCCCTGAGAGAACCTATTGTAGACAGAAATACGTATTAGAAACCACGACAGAAGATCTGTTACATTTAGAGGCAATGACAGAAGAAATCCACACAGTGTCAGTATAAGAACACTTATTTGAGTTTAAGGATAATGAAGGAGTTACTCCTGTCTACGAGTAACTGATGGAGGGGTTACTCCTGTCTATTAGTAGCTGAAGGAAGGATTACTACTGTCTATGAGTAACTAAGGAGGAGTTACTCCTGTCTATGAGTAATTGAAGGAGGGGTTACTCCTGTCTACGAGTAACTGATGGAGGGGTTACTTCTGTCTAACTGATGGAGGGGTTACTCCTGTCTATTAGTAGCTGAAGGAAGGATTACTACTGTCTATGAGTAACTAAGGAGGAGTTACTCCTGTCTATGAGTAACTGAAAAAGTTACTCCAATTTGTTAATGATAGAGGAAGAATTACTTGACCATAAGAGACTGGAGGAAGATTTACTCCAGTCTGTAAGACACTGGAGGAGGATTTACTCGTATTTGGGAATGACTGGAGGAAGAGTTACTCCGGTCTGTAAAAGACTGAAGGAGCAGCTATTCCATTTTGTGAGAAACTGAGCAAGAATTACTTCAGAATATGAAGGACAATGAAGGGGTGGAGGAGTTTCTTCTCGGCGAGAGACTGGAGGAATGTTGCTCCAGTGTATAAGTAATATTCCGGTAGTATGTGTACCTGGAGGATGGGTGGAGGGTGTTCCGGGGGGTCAACGCCCCCGCGGCCCGTTCCATGACCAGGCCTCAGACGTAGTTCCATCTCTGTCAGAGACAGAAAAGAGGCTAATTCTGTCTGACGGAGATAGTGGTATTGCTCTTGTGAAAGATAATGGAGAAGATATTCTAGTGAGAGACAGTGGAGTTACTGTGAGATTAGAAATCAAAAGAGTTACTCCTGTGAGAGTGAAGGAGTTACTCCAGTGAGAGACAGTAGAGGAGTTAATCCAGTGAGAGAGATAGTAGAAGAGTTACTCCTGTGATAGTGGAGGAGTTACTCCAGTGAAGGTTAGAAAATTTACTCATGTGAGAGATAGTAGAGGAGTTGCTCCAGTGAGAGATAATCGAAGAGTTACTCCTGTGAGAGATAGTGGAGGAGTTACTCCAGTGAGAGATAGTGGAGGAGTTACTCCAGTGAGAGAGATAGTAGAAGAGTTACTCCTATGATAGTGGAGGAGTTACTCCAGTGAGAGATAGAAAGGTTACTCCTGTGATAGTGGGGAAGTTTTTCCTGTGTGAGAAATAGTGGAGGAGTTACTCCAGTGAGAAATATCATAAAAAACAGGTAACTTACGTAAATAAGAAATAATGTCGGCGATGCTACACTGGCTACTGAGAAAAAAACAAACTGGGTTGCTCTCGTATATGAGAGATATCTCAATTTAGTGAGAATTTCGAGCAAGTTCATTTATGTGAGAAAGCATAACTTTCCTTTGGGAGAGATAATGGAGACAGTCTTTTCTCCTCTTCGAAAGAGAGAGACTGCCAGATGGGTTGCTTCTGCATGCAAGAGACAGTAAGAAAACGAGTGTTTCTGTCTGAGAGACAGTGAGAAACGAGGTTATTCCCATCAATGAAGAATAGGGAATAAAACGGCGTTTTTGTTCCCGAGAAAGATATTACTGGTAATATTATTTCTTTTTTTTCCTGGTATAGTGATATAAGGTATCTAATATGGTACATGAAGTATGTATTATGGTATATGAGGTATATACTATGGCATATAAGGTATATACTATTGTATATGAGGTATATACTATGGTATATGAAGTATATACTATGGTATATGAGGTATATACTATGGTATATGAGGTATATACTATGGTATATGAAGTATATACTATGGTATATAAGGTATATACTATGGTATATGAAGTATATACTATGGTATATGAGGTATATACTATGGTATATTAGGTATATACAATGGTATATGAGGTATATACTATGGTATATGAAGTATATACTATGGTATATGAGGTATATACTATGGTATATTAGGTATATACTATTGTATATGAGGTATATACTATGGTATATGAAGTATATACTATGGTATATAAGATATATACTATGGTATATGAAGTATATACTATGGTATATGAGGTATATACTATGGTATATTAGGTATATACTATGGTATATGAAGTATATATTATGGTATATAAGATATATACTATGGTATATGAAGTATATACTATGGTATATGAGGTACATACTACGGTATATGAGGTTTGTACTATGGTATACGGGGTATATACTCTGGTACATGAGGTATATACTATGGTATATGCAACACAGGAATCATATACGTGCATATTTGAACGTTTCACGATGTTGGTCGGCCATCAGTAAAGAAAGATTTACTCCATCGAGAATAGAATTTTTAAAATCTTAAGAGACAAAGAAAAAAGTTTATAACTAGTTCACAAACTGGAAATAAGTCTTGTAAAAGACTTTTTCGGGTTCGTCCTGGACCGTTATCAAGTGACGATGACAGAAAAAAAAACAGTAAATGATGAGATAGTTTATTTTGAGAAAGTTTGAAGAAGTTACTGCTGGTGTAGTGACGCGTAAAGAAGGGTACATGGGCAACAATTAGGTATCATTATTGTTGAAACGTATCGCCTACACAATAGGATTCTTCAGTCAGATACAAAGGCAGCGGGTGTAGTAGTGAAATGAACATGATACAATCAGTTCATCAACTAGTCCAGACCATGGAATTGAACTCCTCCAGGTTGAGGGACTGACAACCTCAAATACTGTTTCTCCAAGGTTAATGGACTGATTATATCATCTTCGTTTCACTACTACACCTGCTGCCTCTGTATTTGACTGAAGAAGCCTACTTTTTAGGCGAAACATTTCAGCACTGAAGATACCCAACTGTTGCACATGTGTCTTGATCATCAGCTTGTCAGTATTATATACTATTCATCAACATAATAAATGGGTTGTCGACTAAACGACAGTGACATGTATCAAAGCAAACATTTATTGGAAAATAGTATAATTCCGAGCAGAAAGGAACATTGTACCAGTGAATAATTGATCTGGTACATGTGTCTATCTTCATTCCTGTCGGCAGCTTGATTTTCAACCAGTGAAAAATAAATTGATCATGTTTGTGAGACGGTGAGTTAAAGCACTGTGATGACAAATATTGCAAAGGTGTCTAGTGATGAAAAATTATACATCTGCAGAGAGGAACTTTATTGAGACGTTTCCCCTTTGGACATGATTCTTCAGCCAGTGACTGAAAGTCTCAAGACGGTCTCAGTATAGTTCCACTTTGCAATTTTGTATATTTTTTTTTCAGATAAAGTTTTGTCCTGACTTAGAGGAAGTAAAATGTAACCGGTGTCAGAAATGGAATATTTTACCAAGTGTGTAAATAAGTCACTTTAAAGTTTCCTAATATTTCATATCTGTCTTAATGTCTGGAACACAGTGGGTTGGTGGTCTTAGAGGAGACACGATTTTTACCTGGAGATGTTAAACACAAAAAAAACGAAAAGGTATAAAGGCCTTTCAAATCACTGTTCCAAATATGTAGCGGAAGACTTTTTAAACAGATAAAGTTATGCTCAGAGGAGACCTTTAGAATCATACACTTACAAATGCGCTTGTAAATACACCTGTGTCCCAGTATAAAATATTCTAATACTTATGTGAAGCAATGACATCAAGGTTTGTCTATGTTATCATATACAGATTTAAGACTTTGTAAACATTGTTCCTGGGAAGATATTACGGTTTGACTGGCAAACAATGCAGGCACATAAAGCAAGTTTTTATTCTGACCACTTATAACGCACTGTTAATAATGCTCTATACTGTGATGAGTTGTCAGAATTAAGATTTATATTTTTTAAATCAGTTGAATTCACAGCTTAAGAGTTATTCTATTCACTTCAAAGCCCAGATCTAAGGTACACTAAGACTCCCTGGGATGTGATGCACAAGAGCCGGCTAACATTCAGGTACCTACGTACAGCTAGGCGAACAGGGACAGCAGGTGTGAGGGGACATGACCAACGTTTCTACCTGTGCAGGGGGTCGAACCGCGGACTGCTCACCGTGTCTCTATACAATGCGATAGACAACTTGAGAAGTCTTAAATCCTTTAGAGAAACTAGGAAATTATGGAGTATGATCCATGAAGTGTTCATTCAGACTCAGTGAATCATGACCTAAACACTAATGCTAGAAAATAACTTTTTGGCATGATAAAGCTGTACACAGCGAAACGTTGTCCTGATAAAGCTTGTGTTACAATTTGTGCTTCTGTCTTCATACAGCAGACCTGGAAGTGAATTTAGAAAACTTACCGTACCATAAACTTAGAGGCGAGATCTCTTAGAAATTAGACATCTGGTACAAACTTTGCAGATAGATAGTGAACTCCTATATAAAGTATACACATGTACACGAGAGTAAATGGGAAAGACAGACAGGGAACTGAGAATAACTACCTACTTTAATGTAAATTATGGGCTATTTTGTATTATCTAGGTGTTTCAGGGAAGGATAGTAAAACAAAAGGCTCTTTCCCCACCCTCCACTCCCTCCGACCACTACCGGTACATTGAAAAATTGCCATAACATTTAGAGGACAGATGGGAGTGAATGGAAGATATTAGTTACAACTACTTCTGTTTATTTGATGCTTTATCACGTTAGAATTCAGAAACAAGATATGCTCTCAAATACCGAAACTGAGAGAAAAGATGTGCTCTCACTGTAAAATTTAGAGACAAGAAAACCTCTCTCTCATAAAATATTTTAGACATAAGAAGTTAGCTTTCACATCAAATTTTAGAGATAAGTGCTCTCTCTTACTTCAAACTTTAAAAAAAAAAAAGTGCTCTCTAACTTCAAAGTTTAGAAAAAAAACTAAGTACTCTCTCTCACACAAGATTTTATAACAGAGATAATTTCTCTAACATCAAACTGTTGAGAAAATAGGTGCTCTCTTGCACATCAGATTTTATAGACGTGCTCTCTCTCTCACACATCATACCTAAGAGATAAAAAGTTTCTTGCTACATCATACATAAATAATAAATGGATGTCCAACGGAGCCAATTATGATAAATTCCTTCTAAATCAACGCTAATCTGAACCTGCAGTATTCTTATATATAATGAAATTGGGAGTTTGAATCCTGTGCTTGGCTGACAGTGCTGCTCACTACAGGGAAAAGGAATACATCCAGTAATGTGTTTTAAACACATTAAATTCTGGTAACTAGAAACGGTTGCATATTAATCTGAATATTTGGAGAAATGACAGAGCCACAGCATAAGGGGGATGGTAGTAGATGTGGTGGTGGTGGTGGTATTGACGAAGGTATGGTAATGGTGGTTGATGTGATCATAGTGATGAAGTATGAAAGTAGGGGTTGATTTGGTGGTGGTTGTGATGAAATTATGGTAATAGTGGTTGATATGGTGTGGTAGTGACGAAGTAAGTGTAGTGGTGGGGTGGGATGGTGATGTGGTGGCGATAGAGATAAGAAAAAGGTGATGATTTCATTGACAAAGACAGGTACCAGAGTGATAGTAGGTGAGGTGGTGATGGTAGTGGTGGTGATCAAGATACGGGAATGGTGGTAGATAGGGTAATGATGAAGCCCGATTTAGAAATGGTGGTAGAAGTGATGGCTGTAATGACAAAAGAATGTATGGAAATGGTAGGTATGGTGGATTTACTGACAAAGGGAGATATGGGAATGGTAGTCTTTTCAGACTGGCTTTATGCTGGTGAAGGACTCTTGATGCTTTAAATTAAAGCTACCCTCGTTTTACTCTTATTAAACTCAATTACCATCTATTTCCTCAGGTGCTGCATGACCCCCCTCCGGATTTAGCGCTTCCTCGTGATTATAATCACACTGGTGGGACATGAAGTAGTGGGTATGACAGCCAAAATTTAATTTAAAAATTTTTGGAAGCTCGTCTTTATGAAAACTGGAGAGATTTAAAATTATCTTCGACGCTTAAAAGGTAAAATAAAACCGAACAGAAATGTCTTTTATACTGCTTCGACTTTAACCACAAACGTACGACGGTTTAAATAAAGAAACACCTTCACCATCATTTATGCAATAGCTGTCTGACCTGCAGAGCGTGAACGTAACAATTTCAATAATTTTGCGTTGTAAATCATACAATATACCGGAATTAGAGTCTTATATTTACAGTTTTGAATAAACTAATTCCTGGAACGTAAAAGGAGTATTAGTTTTCTCTGAGTTGTAAAGAAAATAATTTACGCTGACACAATTTACGTAGATGTTTATTTAGTAAAACGAACTGAATTCTGTTCCCTCCTCCCCTGACACAACGATGTCTCCCCGGACACAACGATGTCTCCCCGGACACAACGATGTCTCCCCGGACACAACGATGTCTCCCCGGACACAACGATGTCTCCCCGGACACAACGATGTCTCCCCGGACACAACGATGTCTCCCAGGACACAACGATGTCTCCCCGGACACAACGATGTCTCCCCGGACACAACGATGTCTCCCCGGACACTACGATGTCTCCCTGGACACAACGATGTCTCCCCGGACACAACGATGTCTTCTCAGTTATTAACAATGTGATCCGA